TCTTGACTGCGATAATTTTATTTTAAATGTGACTTTATAACATTCGAAACTATCAGACTTCCAAGAATGGGGCTATTATGAGAGAACTGGCTGACCCCAATTTAATCTTTTACAGACTCTCCATTATTCAATGTATAAAATAACCAATGCAGTTTCCAGTTTTCTTAATTTTCAAAATCAGAATAGTAGGTATTTGGTTTTTTTTCACCATCCTTTATTTCAGACCCCACCCAATCTACACTAGGAAATTGACCTTTTGTTATCAGCAATGGATCCCCATAAAACAAGTACCAACAGTTTGGCTGCAAATCTGTTTTTTGTTCCATCAACACTAGCAGTTGAACTGTTTTCAGCACTGAATCAGAGGGAACCACTTCTGACAGCTGTTTGCAGCAACAGATCGATTCCCTAGTACAGACGGGATTAAAGCAGACATAAAAATATACATCAGCACACAAGATAGAGTGGTGTGCACATGTACAATTGTTCTTACTTCAGCCTTGCTATTTTCAGTGGACATTAAATCAATGGAATATCTGAGCCCACTATTTTCCTGGCAAGTTTTCAGTCGTTATTTTAAATTCCATAATGTGTAACACGACCTCTGTTTTTCTTTTTAACAATTTCAGTGCTAAACGCACATCAATTTCTTAAATTAATAGGGATATTTACAGTGTTGGCAACTCTTGTGATTTCTGCTCAAATTTCACCAAATTTGGTATTATTCTTAAAGCCTTTCTTCCAGGAGTCATGTGACTAAGTGAGATATTTTCAGCCTTCATTTAAGAAAAAAGCAAGTTTTTAGTCCTCATGGTTGTTCAAAAAAGCTTGAATCCTAGAATCTCAGGGTTGGACGGGACCTCAGGAGGTCATCTAGTCCAAACCCCTGCTCAAAGCAGGACCAATCCGCAAATTTTGCCCCAGATCCCTAAATGGCCCCCTCAAGGATTGAATTCACAACCCTGGGTTTAGCAGGCCCATGCTCAAACCACCAAGCTATCCCTGCCCCTGTACTGAAAACGCGAACCACAAAGGTTCGATAATCCGACAGCAAATAAAAACAACCATTTTAACTCAATCTCATGATTTTTGGGGCCTGACTCATGACTGTTGAATGCTATGGGCTGGCAACACCATATTTGTTTTCCAGAGGGACAAATCATTAAGCTGCAGTGGTACTAAAGTCATGTACTTGTGTCCAGTATTCACATTCCAAGGACACCACACCTGGCCAAATTTGACCGAGAAAATGTAGGTGGTGTAAAAATTTATTTTAAAAAGCTTATGATCCATTTGTGATTTTTGTAATCTAACTGAAGCAGTTTTATTTTAAACATTTCCCTGCAATGCCCACACAATTTAAACACTGCAGCACTGGGCTACTGCAGGAGAGCCAGAAAGTGAAAGTGATTTGAAACTGATTAGAATAAAAAGCAAAACTGACTACGGTAATATATTTTCATTGGTGGAACTGAGTGAAATGCACAGAGTAAGCAACATTGTAGTGGAAGGTGCTACACTAGGGCCAAAGGGGTTAGAGCAGACAACATGAGAAAGCAAATATGTTCGGTTTTAATCCGCCATAGTATTATTGGTAACATGGGTTAGGAAATTTGTTTATTTTTATTTATACAGCACCAAACATCTGCTAGGCACTTCAGGGCTTGATCCTCCTGAACACACTCCACTCCCATTGACATGGGTAGTCAACACCTTGCAGGACTGAGCCCTTACAGACAGTGGGACTGATTCTGATCTCATGTACACGAGTGTGTATAAGGAGTTATTCCATTGGTCGCAATGGAGAAAAATCAGTGAGCGATCAGAATCATGCCTAAGGAGTATTAACTGGTCCATGTCATTTTAACATTAACACTTTCTTTTCTCAAAGGAGTCGCCAGGTTGGAAACGTACAGTATGTCTACACTGCAGCTGGGAGTGTACGTCCCAGACAGGGTAGATAACACATGCTAGTTCAGCTCAAGCTAGCATGCTTAAAAATGGCAGTGTGGACAATGCAGCACAGGAGCTAGTCACCAGACTACAAGCCCGTCCCACGCCCTGGGTCTGTTTTCAGGTGGCTAGCCCGTGCTATTGCCCATGCTGCAAAATCCACACTGTTATTGTTGGTGCGCTAGCTCAAGCAGAATTAGTCTGTGTCTGTCTACCCTGGCTGGCAGCACCCAATGAGAAAGTAACTGAAATCTCGAGAAGAAAAGAATTATGAGCCAGACCCTTTTTCATCATCTGCAGCTCCAGAGGGTCCTGATGCAGGCACAGGATTTCTGGAACCTCCTAATTCACATCCAGCTCTGCTTGGTCTCCTGTGTCCCAATGAGAGTGAGGCTAAATTTTTCAACCTAAACTTTTTTAGGTGAAAAATGCAGACTGGTGACACTGAAATATTTCACAAATTTGTGTCAATTTGGCCAAATTGTTTTGGTCAAAAAAAAAAATCTATAAAAATGAAAATGTTTTGGTTTTAGCATTTTCAAAATGAACTGTTTTGATTTTTCAATACAAAATGACTTTTTGTTTTGAGATTTTCCTTGAATTTATTTTTTTAAATCTAAAAACATTAGAAAATGTTCAAAAGCTAAACAAAACATTTTGTTTCAGGTCAAGGAAACATCTGCTTGACCCCAAACAAATTTTTGTGCTGACTATTTGGAATTGGTGGTGAACTGAAAGATCCATTATTCAGACCTCTTTCATCCCAATTTTATGGTGGGGCTAGCGGATCCATCTCTACTCAGATCCGCCAACCACTGCACCCCACAGAGCTGGGACACACAAGCCAGGACTATTTCCCCCCTCTTATTTCTCCCCTCCACCAGGATCCCCCTCTGCCAAGGTTGGCTATTTTGGTGCTCAAGGTTTTAGACTGTGGTCAGTGATGAGTTCACACATTACATTAGCCCTCTATTTTGACTGCCTACAATAGGGATGGTCTGGCAAACCTGCAAACCCACACAGGGCCTATATATCTGATTTTAGGGACATCATTTGTGACAATATCCTTTTAAAATCCAGATGCACTGCTACAGGCCCCAGCATCACAGGCATGGAATCAGTCTCTGGATTTGTGCTGGAAATGGCCCACCTTGATTATCATACACATTGTAAGGAGAGTGATCACTTTAGATAAGCTATTACCAGCAGGAGAGTGGGGTGGGAGGAGGTATTGTTTCATGGTTTCTGTGTATATAATGTCTTCTGCAGTTTCCACAGTATGCATCCGATGAAGTGAGCTGTAGCTCATGAAAGTTTATGCTCAAATAAATTGGTTAGTCTCTAAGGTGCCACAAGTCCTCCCTTTCTGTTTGCGAATACAGACTAACACGGCTGTTACTCTGAAACCAGTATACATTACAGTATTATCCTCTGACCAGTGGGCCTGTTAAATGAGTGTGGGGACTCAGCCCAGTTCCCAGTGCGCCACACAGGGGCAAAACCTACCATCATACTCTTGTTGGAATGGTCAGGAGAGAGCCCAAGGACTGAGCAGGCATGGAGACTCAGTCTAGTTATGGAAGGGATTCCCTTCAGCTCAGAGATGAGAGGAGCTGCCCCTCTTCCAAGGACTTCAAAAGGACTTCTCCAGGATGCTCTTCAAAAACAGTAAGTCACATGGTGTTTTTATAGGTGTTTAGTTGCTGGAACTATTTGCAGAATGAACAGCAAATTAAAGGCTAAACTCATAACTGGGGGTGAGGGGAGGGGACGGGGGAGACTGGAGCTGTTCTGCTGTGCTCACTCCTCTTTAACTGACTAACCCTTGTGCTCCAATCCCCAGCCCTGGCATGTGCTGCAGCCGCTCATCCGTTCCCAAGCCCCAGCACTGACTACCTCTGCTGTGGCAACTACACCCAGTGTTCACTTTAACAAAATAAAAAAACCAACAACTGCATGATGTCAGTGCTGGCTGCCACGCTGAGAAAGCCAAGGACGAGGCAGAGCTTGCACAAAGAGGCCACTTTCCCTCGCCCCTCCTCCCCTGCTAAACAAACTGATAAAAACAAGACACCGAGGCTGTTGTCGAGATGACGAGGCCTCAAGAATACACAGGTGTTACACTTGGAACAATGAGCTTCACAGTCTGATTCTGGTCAAAACAATCTCCCACTCAGTTACGGAGAAAGGGAAGAAATTGTGAGAGTAACTCAGAGTCAAGGGGGAAAGGGCAAGACTGACGGGCCACATAGGGAAGAACTGCTGATGGTATGCGGGCACATGTCCTTGCCCTCAACTTTATACCCTGTCCTGTTATTGAAGCCAGTATGCCTGCAAGACTTGTACCTTCTTAATCCTGCTTTCCTCACCCTTACACTCAACTTATTTTTATGTGATTCCACCTGTGACACTTCACAGGCACAGAGCTAAGACGAGAATTTGGGGGCTAATCTTTTTCTCTAGGCAACTTTGGGGCAATGGGCAGGGGCGCTGTAAAAATTTTTTATAGTGGGGGTACTGATGATGTAAACCATGCGTTTGTTATTACTACTTGAAGCCGGGGATGCGGCAGCACCGCCAGTTCCAGCACCCCTGGCAATGGGAATCTAATTCATGTTCCCGCTCTCCCCTGCCTTACCCCGCAAACATAGTAACACTACTGCAGGCTAGCTAGCCAAATCAATCACCCATGGGCAGCTGTGTGTCTGTCACTACTGATCACCCTACTGCAGACTCGTGCTGGGTGCTTTACTTGGAGCAAGATGCCAAAGGACTCCCTAAGACAATACACAGTAGGGTTTAGAAACCCTTCTCCTCCCCCCGCCATCATTCATTGCTTCTTTTATTTGTTCTCCTCCTCATGTTTATGCATTTGTTTTCTCCAACAGACTATGTAGTTAGTCCACTTGTCCAGGCTGTGGTTAGGCCAAGCCCAGACAGCCATGTCTTCTGAGCGATGGATCAGGTAATCTCCTGCCTACTCAGTTTGTACAGCATGTTATCCTTAAAGACGGGAAGTATGTCCAGTGGCCAGATGTGCACCTTACCCAAGAGAATGAGCAGGACTCCTCCCAGCTGGGAACGCCGGTACTTGGCAGCTCCAGGTTCATGACCCATCCGAATACAGGGTAGAACAGTCAGCAGCAAGAAAACAGCAGGGAGGCCCAGCACTGTGGCAGCAATCATCAGTGCTCGGCATGCCTGGACATAGCCTGTTGACAAGGAAAGGAAGCAGAGTCTTGATTAATAAACAAAAACAACAGGAGGAGATATTCAGCCAAACACTCCTATATTACTAACTACCTAAGCACCAAGAAGCTATGGAGCTGGGGAGCAGAGGAGAGGACAGCAAGGGAAGAATTTGGCTTGCGAGGAATTTTCCTAGGTTCCCAATCCCTAACACAGAAATGAACCTGGTTAACAGCGGAAATTTAAAATGGAAGTTCTCAGACAGTGGTCCATGGTCCACACCACAAAGCCCATCCTGGTGGTCTGCAAAATGAGAGCAATCTGGGTCATTTACATTCTTATAACTCAGGGATATAAAACCACCCCGACACAGCTGAGATATGGGACAAAACCCAATCGATCCTGAAGGGAGCATAAAGTAAGGAAATGATCAACTCTGTAACATCAATCTTCTTTCTCATAACCCTATGGTAGCCTCTCCTAGGAGGTATCTAGGGGGATTAGACTTCCAGCAGTGAGGACGGGCAATACCCAGCTGACCCATGGCACTGACCCCCCACCAAATCAATGGAACTTCAGTAGATAGCTCCACTCTGTACTTCATTGTATAATATTCCAGTGCTGTTGAAGCCCCACACACAGTGGAGGCAAATTTCCAGAGGCTTTGGTCAGCCAGGCTAGACGGGGGATTGAGAGATGGGCACCAGTTCTAACAAATAGGAAATTCCACAAATCCCTCAGGCCAATATGGACATCACAGGATTCAGGGGTTTAATAGGCTGAACTCCCTGCCACTTCAGCAGGCAGGTAAACCATGTCCTCTACTGAGCTTCTGTTAACCTATGCAACAACAGCTCAACACAAGACAGCAGGAGATCATAGAGCTGGTGACTGTCAGTGTCCCAGGACAAGGCACGTGTCATTTATATTTGTCTGTGAAATGCCATACACTCCTATTATAACTAACAAAGTAATTACATACATAATAATAATGCTAAAATTTGCTTTTGTTAAAAGGGTCACATGTTTGGCTTTGGTACAAAGTTTGTTCCTATTGTTTGGAAGTCTCCTATCTGCTCCGGACACAGTCTTAATGGGATAGGGAGGTTCTAGGGGAAATGCACACATACTCCCAGCTTCCATTCCCATCCTGTCCAACAGAAGGAAATGACAGCACTGCCATAGGAGAGAGGATTCATGAGTTCAGGAACTCTGATGATACCACACAGTATTTCTGCAAACAGTGCCTTGAATCAAGAGTCACAGAATTAATTATCATGCAGATGAGAAACCAGGGTTCAAGCATTTTCCTCTTCTTGGACATGTAGACTCTGTGTACATTTGAACATCTGCTTGAAAACAAACTCTTTAAAAGGTGTATGGTAAACAAGACTGAAAAGCCCGGTGTGGTTTCAGTAGAATCGGTCCCAGTTAAACATACATACGCATTCATTTTAAATCCTTCTAACTCATTCAGTAAGAGGTACTGTGTGGATTTCAGCTATTAGACAAATCAGGATACATTAGTCCCTGATGTATACTCACTGGTATTAAAGAAGTTACTGCAAGAAGTATTTTGGCCTGTGAGATGTTATTTTTGTTGAAGAGGGGCATTGTTTTCTGCTGCTAAAAGATTTATTTACCTATTAATGAAAGTTTAATAGCACAATCTTTTTTTCTTCCAGGCAGGGGTTTTCTCAGTGACTTCTACAGCAGCAAGTATATTGTGGGCAGTGTGGCACTATACTAAAAATAAACAAGAAGGAAAATTTACCAAAAACTAAGGCACAGGGAAAAAAACAGAAATATGAGCGGAGTCTAATTAGTTACTATGGTAGTGGACACTGCAAGAAACCCTGTGATCAGCCAAATTTAGTGCTCTGCAACACTGACTGACAATATCTGAAACAAATCCAGGGCTTTTCCACCTTCACTGAAACTCACTTCAGAGCACCTTGTAAAAATGTGAATAAAGAAAAACAATTCACTGAAAAGTGGCTGGCAGACCTCCTCCTACCCCTTCTGAATTGCAGGGAGGAGGCCAAAGGCACAGAACAATAAAAAAGTGTTACAAAACTGACGGTCATGGAAATGGATAATGCTACCAGCTAGCTAAACTATTTACAGGTGCCAAGATTGCACAAAGAATCCATATGCTAAGGTCCAGAAGTTTGGTTAGTTAGCACAAAAGGACATATTCAAACTTAGTGACGCATCATGTTTAACTTGGACTTTAGTGTGAAACTAGTTTAGCAAATTACACAATTAGCAAATATCAACAATAATTCAATATAGCAAATAGGAATAACTCTATAATTAAAAGTTCTATATTGTATAGTCTTAATGGGAGCAGAAAGCATTTGAATATCAAGACTAAGTCTTCTAAATTAAAATAAACTGTTAATAATCTAGCATTAAAAATTAATTATACTCATCAATATTTTAATACAGTAGATCTATAATATTTGTAAGAGCAGCTTAGTTATTTATTTAAAGAACTTTATTATTATCTGAAGTCAAAGCCTAAAGTTAATAGAAATAATTGTATAATTCAAAACTCTAGGCCATATCCTATTATTATAATGTATTCTTTGTATGGCAGTAGCACCCAGAAGACTCAGTTGTAGACCACGAGAGAGAGAGAGAAAGAATTAGTGTATCAAGAATGATAGCAAATAAGAATAAAAAATAAAATGGATCATTGACAGTGTAATAAAATAGAATCATACTTAAGACATAATTAAAATATTAGCCATAATCTATCTTTAATATTAGCTGTAAATATAGGATAGTATCAATCTAGTAGAATTTTGAATTCTATGTGTATTATAATTAGTGGGTGAGATACTGCGCTGTTGAAATCAGTTGGAGTTTTGCCATGGTCTCACTCTGGAGCAGGACTTGTCGCAAGAGGAGCAGCACTTCTCCCTTCATCTCTGTACCAAAAGGGAGACAGTGAGGAGCCCATACCTGGCAATATGAGGATGTCCACTAGTGGCTTGCAGTGATAGAGCCCTGTTGCCATGACACAATCTGCCCACAGCCCTTTGGATCCCAGCTCATCCATCTTCCTGCAAGTGGTGATGGTGTAGCCACAAGTCACGACCCACTCATTGGTGGCTGTTGCCACGATCACACCAATCCAGCCAACAAAACTAGAGACAAATCCAACTAGGTGCAAGCAGGTGGCAACCATGTTAAGCTGTCAAGCCAGGCAGCTGAAAGGAAAAGCACAAAAAGTAAAGAGTAAAGGAGATGACTGGGCTTTGTAAGCTGGAGCAGCCTTGGTGCTGAACAAAACAAGTGCTGGGACCTGCCCTAAACTGTCAGCAGATAGGACTGGAGTTTGGTGTAAGCAGATCCTGAGTGGTGCTCTAGTGGCAGGGATGCCTCTGATCAGTTCAGCCTCTGGGAGTGGTCAGAACTCCTGCCAGCCCCACTGACAGAGATGGGAGGAGTAACACAGGGAGCCCTATTTCTTCCAGCTAATCAAGAAGGAGCTGAAAGACAAATTAGCCAATCAGAGAGCAGGGAGAAGAGAAGGCTTCAGAAGTGTAGACTTACCCCATTTCTATTACCTTGCCTTGGGGGTCCTATGTTACTGTCAGAGAACTAAACCCATCAGAATGTAACAGAGTTGGGTGTGGCTTTGTATTTTTATAAATACATTCTCTCTCTGGCTAAGTGAACTAATAAAAGGAAAGGCCAGAGCTTTAATTTTTTTAAAAAATCAAATAGTTGGACTATTGGAAATGCAGAAGAAAGTGGAGGTTAAGCAACATTGTGGGGCTGACTACAGGTCATCACACTAAGACACTCCCGTTGGAATGGGCTGGAGAGGGAGGGAGGGAATAGAGCTGGCAAATAAAGTTACTGGAAAGAAGAAATTGATCCTTTTACCAAAACAGAAGCTGTCTGTAGTAAGCAGCCTAGTGAAGATCAGTCATGTTTCCTTGGGATCTTTTCTGATGCCTTCTCTGTCGATGGAAAGAAAAGACAGACAAGTTTCTGCACTACCTCTGCTGTGCCCCAGTTCTCAAAGTACTTTGTAATTCAGACTCAAAATGTCTCACTGATCTACTTTCCAGCATCTTATTATTTCCACTTCTGAATTGTGAGACCCAGAGTAACTGATTTTTCACTCATAATTACTTAGGTTTGTAGATTTCAGGTTATTTATTCTGTAAAGAGAGGAGCAATACATTTTTTTAAATGTCAAAGAAGAAAAAATTCACTTTTCCTTCTTAGTCTGAACCAGGTCAAGAAAGGTTGAGAGAGACAGGAGATCTTCCTATTCTTATACTTATTTGCAAAAAAGCATAAAGTATTTCCAATGCCAGCAGAGTTCTAGCAGAACTGCATAGTGCTCCAGTAGCCAATGTTTGGAATTTGTCAAAGAGAAGATTTGAGTGTAATTGTGAAGCTTTGGGTCTGTACAAATAAAATGTGCCTGTGGAGACCACTAGTGGAATTTTTTTACCATTGCACTGTGTAAGGGAAGAATCTAACATGAAGTAAGATTACATCAAATGCTTTGTCCTCTTAATTTGTGTTTAGAGCTGTTAAAGGAAAGCATTGGGAGCTGATCCCTACCATTTAGATACTGATAATAAATAGCAGCCATGGGCTGTCATTCCAGTGGAGAAATCTAATGAATTCAGATTGTTTGGAGCAGGTCTTCCTTGGCACATAGTTTGTTAAAGTGTTTGCAAGCTTGTGAGAAGTCATGCCCCGTGGCTTTAAAAAGAGATGAACTAGTCAATTTCTAACAAGAATCTCACCTCCAAAATCTTCATTTTTCAAATCTTAGAAATAAGTATGAACAGAGAGAAAACATTAATTTAATAATTGTTTTAGACAGAATTAAAATGAAATGTTTTCCCTGTCAGATATATAGTTATTTTTCAGCTTTGAAAAATATTAGAACTTCAAGTCTTTTTCTAAAAGTTCTTTTAGCCTTACACCTCAGCAAATAAACTACGCAAAAGCACAAGAACTAACAAGACACATGCTAAGCTTCCCCTGTCAATCACTTTACTTTTTTATTGCATCCCAGCTCCTCTTTGTATGTTATTTAGATTTAAAGCTCATTGGGTCAGGGCCTTTGTCTGTAAAGCAGCTGCTAGCACATTGTGGGTACTATATAAACAATAATATAAGGTTCAGAATGAGGGGGACTTAGTAAAAATACATATTTTTGTGGTATGTTTACATTAACAACGCTGTTGCATATGGATTTCTGCGTTGTTTGGTTTGACATGGCTAAGTATGAATTCTTGTTTGTATGCTGTCCAGAATTTGTTGTAGATTTCATAAAAAATTAAGGATTTGAGAAAAAAATTGTGGTCCAAGGAGTCAGAGCACAAGAAGAACACACCTTCTAAAACAAATCCTTCTGTGGTGGTGGTCTCTTTATTAGATGGGACTTGTGAAACTACAGGAAAATGAACCTGAAAACTATAGACTTCTATTAAAACATGCATAGGTTGCCTTGATCTGTTATGAAAGTGGATGAACTCTAAAAAATGGAAAGTCACATTAGGAGATAAGCATCCCAGAATTGCAGACAATAAAAAAATACAGCTTTATACCCTGATCCTGCAAAAGCTTCAGTGAGTAGTCCCACGAGTACTCATGGCAGTAACTGCACGTTAGTGAATATTTGCAGGATAAGGTCCTTAGTTTATATGTAGCCTTCCTATATACTATAGTCTTCCTGGTATGAGTAGCTGCCGTTTCTGAGACTACTGTTGCTAGTGGTCACCTTGCTGAGAAGGGCTGGCAATGTGGAAGCTTCAGTGACCAACACCAGTTTCTGACTCAATAGCTAACAGGATTAATTTCTCCTGGTTTTTGCCTTTCCTATTTAGTTTCCCTGGGCTGTCTTTAAATTCTCCTAAAGTGTGTTAAAAGGTAGGAGATGCCAAAGACATTTTCGATAGGACATCCTTCTAATTTCTTTTTAGATCATAAAGAAAGGATAACATACTTCCTGTTTTTAAGTAGCTTTCACATAGACAAGGCTCTGGCACTGAAACACTTTATTATGTGTATTATGACCTAGAGTCCCCAGCTGAGATCTGTGTCTCATTGTGCTAGGCACTGTATAAATGCATAGTAAGAGACAGTCCATCTCGGAAGAATTTACAATCTAATTAGACAAACACAGACAAAGGATGGGAGGGAAAAGAGTCACAGAGAGGTGAAGTGACTTGCCCACAGTCACATAGCAAGTCATTGGCACAGCCAGGGTAGAACCCAGGTCTGATACTATTCCAGAGCTGTAACATGGTCCCTTATTGCATGGAGCACAAATCTGCTTTTATGAGAAGCAGCTGCGGTTTACCATATGCAGCTCTCTAAAGCTTTTGACAAGACAATCTTCTGCAGCTATTAACATCCCTTCATTTATTCCCACTGCTAGAAGGGCATGATGCAAGATAACAGGAGTGCTTTCAGAGGACAGAATGATCTCTTACGTGGAGAAAGCCATGCAAAGGGACATGGAAGCAGGAAAATTCCATGCAATCCTGCAAAACATTCCTTCAAAGCAAGATACATTGGCTAGCCAAAAGACATACTGCTCCAAGAAATACTGTGTCCATATTCTAATTACTTCCTGCATGGGTGTGGGAAAAACTGCCCTGAGCTCCCTCCCCAAAACACTCTGCAACTGCTTAAGGGCAGCCACAGCATAGTATTAAGTTGCTATTAGTAATACAGGTAAGGAAATTCACCTTTTAAAAATGTGTTTTTAACTGGAGAGCATCTCTAAGATCTATGGAAATGTCAAGATATTATTTGAGCTCATAATTAACCAAGGAATACAACAGAAACATACTGAGCATTACTACTGAAACATTGATGAAAAGTAGGTTGACTGGCTTTGGGGTTTAAAAACCAAACAAATGCCCTATATCATACCAACATACATTGTCCTAAGAAATTCTGAGTGTATTTGGGTTTTTCAACACAAAGCAAGAAGCATTTCCCTACATTTTCGCTACACATTTAATCTCAAACAGGGCAACCATTCACATTTTTGCATGGTGGTTAGGGCAAATACCTCTTGCACACAGCACAAAAACAATAACACAAATGTTCAAACCTGCCAGAGAATACAGATGTCCATTTCCCATTAATCTTAACAGGAATAAGGTGTTCAAATACCTTAGGCATCTTTAAAAAATCTGTTTAAAGTTTCAATATCTTGTCATGGTCAGAGCAACACCCAGATTCTTGTACCAGGATTGTGACACCAGAATCAATAAAACAACAAACCACAAACAACAAAGAATGATCTGTCATAGTGCATTTAATATATATTCTTCAGGACAATATTTTGACTGACATGAGTGAATAAGTAATTTTAATATTAAAAAGTAAATGAATTTGCCAACTTAAAAGCAGCTGCCATTAATGTCAATATTTATTACTTAGGCAACAATAGCGTAAACGCTTTAAAGCTTCTAAACTTTATGCCTTGTTATTTAGGAGAGCTCCCTGGATCAGCATTCAGTGTTTGCTCTGACAAGTGATCTTAGTTGCAATTAGTTTTGATGGCAGTCTGAATTTTTAAATCATTCAAGCGATTCACTCCTGGATTGTTTCTCCATGTAATTTTCCTAAAACTTTTCAGAATTAATGACTGCTAATTAATCTGGACACCTAGAAAAAGCATGCAACAGGTATATTGACTGCTCACAAGATGCAAAACCACAAAGCTGTATGTGCTAGCAGGTTTACTCTGTTGGTTGCATTAATCTAATTACAGCTACTGATTCACTTTTTCTACTCTGATATCAGAGCTCCTCACAAACATTAATGAATTTATCCCTGTGAGATAAGAAAGCATCCCTGTTTTACAATCAAAAATTAAGAGACTTGCCCACAACCACACTAAAATTTTGTGATGGTCAAGAGCAGAACCAAGATCTGCCAAGTTCTAGTCCAGTCCCATAATCACAAGACATTTTTCCTCTCACAAGAACAAAAATAATATACAGCATAAATATTTTAACATTTCCTCAGCAAGAGAGAAAAATCACCTAGAAATTCTCCATAGTTTGTCAACTAAAAACACACAATTTTTATTTAACTAAAAAAAAAAAGTAAAATCATTTTACTAGAATCTTTGTTTTAAACTTAGTCAGTGCAGGAGTACATAAAAAGGCCTGACCCAAAGTCCATTAAAGTCAACAGAAAGAGTCCCACTGATTTCAACAGGCTGTGAATCAGGCCCTAAATGTTACAATAGGAATATGTTCTGCTTTAATAGGAGAACTGGGCACAGAGGATTTGCAGGAACAGGTCCCAACATGTTAAAGTTTACTACTGGTATTTGAGCTTTCTGATGGTTGGGGACAGAAAAATGACATTCAGGACACTGATTTATGA